AATTTGAAAATAAAATCCAGTGTGAGAAGCATGGGCTGTGATGATTGCAGGTGCCCTGTGCTGCTAGTTCTTAAGAATTTCTTTGCCAAAGAATTTTGGCAGACAGGAAGGCAATAAAAACCCAGGTTCACTAAGACTCAAGGACCATGCAGTATGCTATTTTTACTCAGATGCCAGGAAATTCCTGATTAGATCCCTGGAGCTTGCTGCCATAAATGACTTCGGTATTAAAAATAAAAACTTTTAAAAATTAGCATGCCCTCCCTTTGCATTTACGGAGCTTTCACGACTGTGACCTTTACCTATGCAGTTAATAGCCAAAACTAAGATAGAGAGCTATATTGCAGAAAGACCAGGATTGACAAGGTTATATATTCTGGGATAGAGTGAAATGACAAGTCCCTGTAAGGCAATTTTACCATTTTCTTGGTCTAGCATATCCGTATTTCTTCTTTTTCTTGTTGTTTATAGCATTGTTATGTGACCCCTGATGGTAAATGCGCTTTCTTATTTTAGTTTCACTTTCATGCTAAAAGCAGTTTTATTTCTGTGGTTGCTGCACTGTGCCCTCACAGTGGGACAGTTAAGGAATGGTACGGCTATGTTGAAAAATCACTGGTATCTTCCTGAGAATGCTGTTTAAATAGATTGTATTTTTATTAATGTGCATGTTTCTCTTGGAGTCTATGCCACATGTGGGAGGGTATCATCATAGGCATAAGATCCTTTGGAGTTAAAATTGCTTGCGAGCCACCTGACATGGCTCCTGGAAACTGAATTCAGGTCCTGTGCAAGAGTAGTGCATGCTTGTAATGGCTAAGCCCGCTTCCAGCCCCAAATGCTTTCCTGAAATATTTCATAGTGGGAGTCTGAATTCCTGGTCTTACGCTTTTTATTTCATGTTTTTATTGTTCACACTCCTAGAGATCCATACTTCTTCTTTTTTTTTTTTTAAGGTTAGGGAATGCTGATTTTTTTCTTTATTAATTACACTTTATTCAATTTTTATCCCCCCTGTGGTTCCCTCCCTCCTCCCATCAGGGACTTCTCTGACATAAACTGATTGGCCTGCTCTTTAATTACCTCCCTCTGAGGGGGAAGCAGCATTACCAGGCCCCAGAACAAGAGAATTCAGCCACTCCTGATGAGACCTAATTGACTAGGATCAGAAGGAAGGAAAAGAAGACCTCCCCTATCAGTGGCCTTGCGGAGGGGCATGCATGCAGAGGGTGGAGGAAGGGAGGGAATGAGATCCATACTTCTAAATGGTAAATTTCCTCACTGTATCTTGGTAACAGCTTTACAAGGTTGGTGGTGATTTTACCTTTCTTTATATATAAGAAGATATAGAAGGGGGTTGCAAAACAGTGAAACAATTTGACAACATTATTAACTAGAAAGTAGCAAAAATAAGTTTTATTAAGCCTGACTAATAGATTATAGTTGTTTATTTTTCCATTTTGGAACTGCACATACCAAGGGAATCCATGGTTGAACGAATAAGAGGGTTTGCATTATAAACACAATGACTTGAGTTTGAATTTTGAGCACCTGTGTAAGAAGCCAGGTACAGCTGTCCATGTATAACACACCAATAGCACTGGGAAACAGAAACAGGTGGATTTGAGTTATAACGGCAAGCTTCAAGTTGGCTGGAAACCTCTGTCTCAAGTTCGTAAGGTGAAAAGCAACACAGAAAGACACTCTGTGTCCTTCTCTGGCCAACATGGGTTAAAAAAAACACCTGTATATTCACGTACATATACCACGTATACATCCAACATACACATGTGCGTGCACACACACACACACACACACACACACACACACACACAACTCACCAGTGTATTGTATTGCTGATATAATTTCATGTAAAGTGGTAGACTTCTGGTAGTATGTTTCCTGTTCTTTTTGCTTATAATTTTATATTTTTAAAATTATATAGAACCATGTTAAATGCCTTACATTAAGATGCAAATAATTAATTAAAGTTATATTGGTATTGTACAAAATTTTCTTTTCTTTTTATTTAATAATTCTTAGCATATTGCTGTTTTTAGTTTTATCATACAATTAGTAGTGGAGAATAAATCCAATATACTTATATGGTGTTTGCATATCATCTATGCTGCCAATAATGTGATGTTAGTGTTTCAGACGTGCTACCCACACACAAATACACACTTGTAAATATATTGTTGCATTACACCTCAGCAGCGTAGGAGGATTTGTTGTTGTCTATCAAGTGTAGTAGTGTAAATACTACCAGTTTCACTCTATCCCAGAGCTACCATTAACAGAGAACTATAACAAAATAGTAGTATATAAAGAGATATATATATATATATTCATTACATAGAACAAAAAGACATATTACAAAACACACATATTTTCACTGTTCAGGAGCCTTTGTTAGCTACAATAGTGACTTTAATAAAACTTACTTTTTTGTGAGTATATAATTAGTAATTAAAGAGGGCCATGATTACTAGTGATGAGTATAAAATTCACAGATTCCACAGTCATACTTCCATTTATTAATAACCTGCAGACCGCTGGGACAGTCTACATGCTAAATGTCCAGATTGTTACAACCTGCTTTGGAAAACCATGCTTCCTAGTTCAAATATAAACAAAGATCAACTCAGCAAAAGAAAAGGGTAAGGGATACAAATTCATCATCAATGAGCTATCTCCAACTCTTTCCTAAAGTCAGGCTTGCATTATTTCTCACCTGCGTGTCCCGTTAGGCCCTTGCCTTTCCTCTCTCATTGGGTAACTTACATATGTTACAACATTAAACTTTCATTTATGGTGAGGGTGTCAAATCCTTCTTGTAAACTGTGATGTTTCCCTTTTGTTCCAGATCAAAACATGATGTTATTGAACACAGTTACACATTTGGCTTATGACAGACACCTGGAGGTCAGCATATTGAAAACCTGTCAATCGGCTTTCCTGTAAAAACCTCTCTTCTTGTTCATGTCATCTCTGTTTACAAACTCTGAGTACCGCCTTGGTTTCCTATCTGAATACCTTCCACTGCAGTCAAGATCATACAATATACCTCCACAATGTACTCCATGAGTTTAAAACAGTCCTCCCCATCAGCATACTTGAATCCAATTTTCTTTTTTTTATTTTTATTTATTTATTTATTTATTTATTTATTTATTTATTTATTTATTT